GCACACGCGCCCAGCGTGAGTTTTAAGCCACTGGGTCTGGGACTCGAACCGCGGTTGACTACATGGGAGTCCAGTGACATAGCCATTACGCTAACTGCTGGTCCCTATCAGGGGTGTCTATGGAAGCAGTTACAGAAGCTGAATCAAGCAGGTTAATGATTTCTGAGGGGAGTGGGGTTTCCATTGCTAAACACAAGGGTTTCCGGCTAGTTAGCAAAGACAGTAGCAGGTGCAGGATGGCGTCCCGGATACGGTTTTCTGTACGCCTCGCACAAGCTATTTTCTCATGGGAAGCACAAGCAGGTTTACAGAAGCAGACGGCCATGTTAGGGGAAGGGAACAAAATGGACAAACAGTTGTTCGTGTGCAAGACCTAATATGCAGCCTCCCACTGTACAGTAGCTAGCCCTGCAGTAGGCTTCTGAGGAGGAAAAAAGGCAGTCCAGACATCGAAATCCATTTCAATGCACTTGTTTCAAGTAAAAATACTGTTTCAAATATTAGACCCTTGGGGCTAGCAGGTGGCTTGGTTAGGACGCTGGGCTCCCACATGGTCTACTGCAGTTTGAGTCCAGGACATGATGGCCGGCTCTCCCTCTCTCTGGTGAGCCCACGTGCCCTATAGCAAATTTAAAAATAATAAAAATAAATAATTCTTAAAAAAAAAAGACCCTCAGTGTGCAGTCTGCCTTTATGCTGAGGGTTGTATACCAGGGATCTCTTCATAAATTTCTCTCAGGCAGTCTTGTACAGGACCAGCCCTGTGGCTCAGCAGTTCAGGGAGCCAGAGCTCTCTGACTGACCGCAGTTTAAATGCAGCCTGCTGACTTGAAAGACAGGCTGGGAGCAGGTACGTGGGTGCCTTCCCTCGTGGTGGGAGGAGGCACGGAGGAAGGGCCGTGGCCTGACTGCATCCTACTAGATGGTGCTTCTTCATCCCCTCCCCTTCCCGTGTGCCTTCTGGCAATAAAAAAGAAAGAAAACAATCTTGGGTAATTTCTGAGACATAAAATCCTTATATGCAGGGATTTGAAAAGTTTGTAGAAAGGTAGAATTGAAGTATGAGTATTTTGTTGCAAACTGTTCCTGAAGTCCGTGCATAATTTATGCAGATAGGCATTTTCCATTAACTTTGGAAGACCCCCCTCGTGCAGTGAAATGATGATGGAAAAATGAGAGCATACCGTCCTTCAGCACCCGATGCCCTTCCCATCCCTCAAATGAGACTAGGAAATCTCCTCGGGGCTTTTCCTGCACAGGGGTCACTGAAGTCCGGTGCAGGTTCTGGTGGGTCGTATTTCTCAGCCTGTCTGTTCTCCCTGGGGCAGCTGCTGTTCCACCTCGAGACACGGAGTGCTTGTTTCACAGGGCCGGGTCTGCTGAGATGTTGGTGCAGCGTGCTTCTGCCTGCTCGTGTCGGGCCCCTGAGCCTTGCCACACATGGGGTGCTCAGGGTAGGACGCACCTGACAGGCACAGCAGGTACGTCCAGCGTCCCAAGGATACAAGGTCAGGGCATGTCTAACGAGACGCCCAGGTGCTGGTGGGACCGAGAAGGGCTGGAGGCTGGTACCACTGTGGGAACAGGAGGGGACGGACAGGAATACGAGGTGGGCAGGGGGTGGTGCCACCGTGGGGACAGGAGGGAGAGGACAGGACACCTGCGGTGGGCAGGGGTCAGGAAGCTCTGGGGAGGGGAGAGCTCCGGGTGGAGCTTGGTTAGAAATGAGCTGAGGTGGGTTTGTGGGGACCCTCGGTGCCAGGGAGACAGGTCACTGTGCTTCCAACAGGGAGTCACCTAGCCCTTTCCCCCTCTTGAGAGACTAGCAAGGAGGCGCAATTAGAACAATGTTTCAAACTTATTTTAGTGACAGAACTGGTTATTTATTTTTTAATTTTAAATATTAAGGATTGGGACCAGCAGTTAGCGTAATGGCTATGTTGCTGGACTCCCATGTAGTCGACCGCGGTTCGAGTCCCGGATCTGGTGGCTTAAACTCACGCTGGGCGCATGTGCGTGTGTGCCCAAGAAACTGAGAGGAGAATGGAGGAGAAGGGATTGCAGCGTGGCCATTCCCCCTAGAGGGTGATTTCTCTCTTTCTGTCTCTATGTCCCTCTCTGTCTTTCTGGCGAGTGCACGCACCCTATAGCAAAAACCTCTCCAAGCACAGAGAAGGGAGGGAGAGGAGGGCTAGCAGCGTGGCCTGTGTCCCCTGGGCCGCTGTTCCCCTCCCTGTGTCCGACAAGCACAGAGGGGAAGGGAGGGAGAGAAGGAATTATGGGGAGAGGGCAGTGAGTGAAGGGTCTGCTTGGGTCCGGGTGTGTCCCAGTGTTCAGGACCA